CGCCCAGCCAACGCAGCTCAGGCCTTGGCCTGGATTTAGGGAAAGCAGGCAGGTTTCAGAAGTTCTGTGGAATGGAGCCTCCGAAAGGTCAGAGTCCGGCTGCAGATACATCGTAATAACCCGAGATGCCGGGAAGCGGCCACCTTGCCTCCCTGCGCCAGCACATCCCCGCTAGGGCCAGTCCGTAGCCAAGCCTGGCGTTGTCCCCAGCTGGGGATATCCCGGTGGGATAACCAGCTCGAGTGTGCGGCCCCAGCGAGGGGCTCCCCAGCGCCAGCTCCCCGTCCCACTAGCTTTGCTCGTGGATGGAGACCCCGTGCCGGCTACGGCCAGGCTCAGCAACAAACCCAACAGCGCTGGCCACAGCCGAGCCAGGGAGGCCCCTTAAAGCCAGGAGTGGCCCAGCACCACCTGCGACCCCGGTCGAGGCAAATCCCAAACCTCGCCCTGGCGCCACGGGGCCGACAAAGCAAAGCTGCGAAGCGCAAAGAGCCCCTGCGAGGCTTGGGAGCGGGGAGGCCCCCAGCGTCCCTTCGCCACAGGAGGAGGAAGAGGAGGAGGAGGAGGAGGAGGGAGCCTTCCTCCCATTTTCCCCACTCGCGACTCGGCAGCCCATCCAGGAGGAGGAGGAGGAGGAGGGAGCCTTCCTCCCATTTTCCCCGCTCGCGACTCGGCAGCCCATCCACCACGTAATTTATTCATAGCACCATAACCTCAGGGGTCCCGGTAAAAGGCCGGAGCTGCTGCATTGTTCCGGACGCGCCAGCACCAGCACAAAGACTCCGGGCACCTCCCAGCCACCGGCCAGGGATGCCACCGTGTCCCCTCCCGTACCGGGGGCTACGGCGCACGATTCCTCGCCCTCCCACACACCGAAACACCCTGAAGCCTCCCCTAATTGCCACAGGGCCCCTCTCCAGTGGGCTTAACTCCAGAGCCGGGTGCAGAGCCAGAAGCCGGGGGGTTCTGCAGGGATCCCCTATGCCACGCTCACAGCAACGCTGAAATTGCAGCCTTTGCCGCAGCCACGCTGTTCCCGACCGGCGCGAAGCGCTGCCCGGCTCACTCAGCATCGCTCCTGCGGCTTGGAAGCTGCCGGATCAACTGAATTAATTGAATTTCAGGATACCCAATTGCCCAAGGACGTAACAAAACTAATGGGGGCGTGGGGGGCCACAGGCCTCCCGATAAACAAACGCTCCGTAATTCACAAGTTACAGGAAACTTTGAGAAATAAACAGCAGGGGAGCAGTGGGGCTCCATGCAAGTGCAACTTCAAAAAGCTGAATCTTTGACCCAACTGGCAAAAACGAACCCAGCAGCAAACCCGAGCCAGCCCCGACACGGGAGGGCAAAGCTCCCAGCCAGGCAGCTCAGGCGACGCCTCCCCCCGGCGTCCCCTGGCCCCCCCGCTGCCCCTCGTACCTGCAGGAGCTGGATGGGTCCTCACCAGCAGCACCCAAACCCGCCTCAGCCCCCCATGCCCCCCCCAGGGCCTGGGGGGGCCTTTCCAGCAGGGACCCCCTCCTCAGCAGGACCACAGTGCCCAGTGGCCCCAGCCAGCTCCTTCCAGTACCACTGCCCTGACGAGGGGACAGGGCAGAGCTATGAGGGGATCCCTAATGCGGGGACGGGGCGGACCTGGACCCCATCACCCCCAACGAGGTGGGGGAGGGCTGAGGCTCTGCCCCTCCCCTGGCTGCAAT